GGCGGCAGGCCGGCTTGTTTTGACATTGCCCTTTCATATCAGCTGCAGGTGTCTAACTGACCTGTTTGTTTCCGGTTTGACCGTATCTGCTGACAGGCGGCATGCCGACATGATTTGGCATGTTTTGCTTACTGAAGCATTTGATCTCTGGTTCAGGTGTCCAACTGATCTGCTTATTTTCTGTTTGCAAGCCGATGACAGGTGCAATGAGATGAAGCCGGGTTGTTTCACAATACCAACATGCTGCTATATATAGAAAAAACAAGTGCGGCCTGATTATGCGTACTATGTGGAATAGATTCCGATTCAGAAACTACGATTCAGAAGCTACGATTCAGAAACCAAGATTCAGAAACTACGATTCAGAAACTACGATTCAGAAACTACGATTCAGAATCTTGGTTTCAGAAACTACGATTCAGAAACTACGATTCAGAAACCAAGATTCAGAAACCACGATTCAGAAACTACGATTCAGAAATTACGATTCAGAAACTACGATTCAGAAACTACGATTCAGAAACTACGGCACCGAAACTACGATTTGAAAAAGCACATCAAACACAGGCCCACAGAAGCGGAAGCAAATTCAACACGAACACGGCAAACGCCTCATAACGCGGGTTTTAGGAGGGGTTGGGGGGGGTACGAGGGAATAATAGTGCCACGGGATGGGGGGGTGATAATGACGTGGGGGTGAAAAGGTTTCCCCGTCGCGCTTTCAGCTGCAAGGGTGCAGTGTGGCCATTTCATTAGCTTTTCTTTGGCTCCTTCTTGGGGTAACCGCTATGGTTGTCGAAAGAGACGGTAGTTTCCGAATCCGGTCGTAGTTTCCGAATCAGCTATTTGTTTCGGAATAATAGTTTCCCAATCAGTTTCCGAATTAGAGGGTAGTTTCCGAATCATAGTTTCCGAATCCGTCCTTGACCCTACTTTTACAGTATGTTGTAGTGGATTAAAATGTCATGGTGGGGGTCTTGCGAAGTGAAGTAATTTCGATGTGTTTTAATCTGGTAGTATTTTTGTTCTTGCTCTTCGCTGCTGCCTTATAAAGGAAAAGAGAAAAGGAAAGGAAAAGGGAAAGGAAACGGAAAAAGAAAAAGGACAAGCAAAGGGCAAGGAAAGGGAATTGGAAAAGGAAAGGTCCACAATGCTCTTGTGAAGGAGTTGTCAAAGTGCAAGACAATTAAAGGCACCTACCGTTCCCTTTCAAAGCGTGACTGGCTATGTTACAGGTGTGACCAGTCATCCACTGATACTATCGTAGGAGCCCAGTTAAGCGTTATTCCTAATGAAAAGACCTTCAAGTTCTCATATGAATATTCAGAGCTACATGAAATCATCTGGATAAAACCAATATTCAATATTCGCAGCTGTGCCTGGGACTTCACATTCCTATATTCCTCTGATAATGGACTAGTGAGTAACATCCACCCATGACAGCAGAACAAAGGTTGAAATGGTCAGCCCGGGTTGGCCAAAGCCACAACCAATGCAAGCACGATCGTTGCCAACCCTTGGATTCTTTAGTCGGTCGGTGTAGTGACCAGGATGCAGTAGAAGAGAATAACTATCATATCTTGATATATCTTGGGTATACCACGTTCAGCGCAACAGTGGAAAAAGCCCCAGCCAACCCAACACAAGACACCAAAAGCCAACCGAAGCCACCAAAAGTCAACAGAAACCACCAAAAGCCCCAAAAGCCAAATGAAAGCCACCAAAGGCCACAAGCCCGCAAATTGCAAAACCTATGAAAACAAGAATAATACCAAACGTTTAAGAGAAAAAAAAAACAAAAAAAAGTAAATCGAAAATAAATATACCCTCCTCAGTCTAACAATCTCGCCGCGTAGCAATAGCATTCACATTGGCCTTGTGTCTCAGTAAAAGCCGCGCTGTCTCCTTCGCACCTGCGGACTTGCACCCACAAACCTCAGAACAAGGAACGCATCGAATCTTTGAGCCCTTTTGGAAGGAACACTGATGAACAATCAAACAAGTTCGGTCACGCCCATGTCTTTCCTCGTCAACTTAGTATGTTGCAGGATTCAATGCGCGAAGAATGCCCACTCTGCCTAACCCGCTCACCAAGTCTACCACCTTTCGGGGATGAAGGAAGCAGACTCTGCAAGAAAATCACAAGTCCTGAAAAGACACGTTGCTGGGGTCTCTCCAGCTGGCCGAGCACCCACAAATTGTCAGGACGAACTGCGATCTGCGGCACAGCCTCCCGCTGAAAATTAACCTCACCGGCACGCCTTTCACCGCCTTTTACTAACCACGCCGCCGGCATGTCAGGGGAGACTCGTTGGATGGTGAATTGGGAGATTAAGCTTCTTTGCAGTGGGAAGCGCGCTCAACCATAGCTGCCCCCCAGCAGAGTTGGCCAATTAACCAGCAAACAAAGCCGGAACTCCTGGAGCTTTGCAATGTGGGCACACCGGAGGGAGAGGCGGTGGGTATTACTATTTTGGGAAGGCTTCTAAAGCAATTGGTGGAATCCATTGTTTGTTTGCTGGTTGGAACGCGCGGGGCCATTGTTCATGATTGACTTTTCAAGTGGCAGCTGCCAAATCCTTTCCAAACCATTATATAATTGTGACTGCTAGATTTGACCGTGGCCCCCGGTTGGTTCTTTTATGCGTAGCTGCCAATTTTTGTAAGGACGCTACTAGGGGCTCCTGGCATCGCTACTAGGAGCAAGGACTAGGGTCATAGGAACGACGGATTTGATTTGTGTTCCAAGCAAGTGTTTGTGTAGTCCAATCCAGGATTGGCCCGCTGGGTGTGAGCAAACGAAAATTCTAGCCTCACGGCACGGGTTCCTCACTCCCCCCAACCATCACTATGTGAAGAAAAATCAAAATTGTTTACAGGCATTGCAAATCACTTCCATTTTATATAGATTAACCATTGACCATGTTTCATCCATTGAGGCAAAGTCTATGGAAGGCTTCTTGAAGCAATATTGGTCGGTGCGAAGGCTTCAAAATGTAGATTGTTCGACAGAACGTAATAGTCGATATGATGTCCAATCCTTGTTTTAAAGGTATTTATATATATATATATCGTTTATAAAGCCTTTGCATTCCAATCCAATCGGGCGCTCCCTGATTGAAAGCTGCAGGAATCGAGTGCTTGACATTTCATCCTCTGTGTTCCTAGTCAGAGGTGATGGATGTGAGGGCGGGGGGCCCTGGTGGGCACGCCCAAGCCTGCTATATTTTATCCCTCATGCATGCTTTATTGGAAATGGGAAATCACACAGCACAAACCTCTCTACATAAACCAGACTTTGTTTGCTGTCCAATGGTGGTTGATCTCTTGAGCCCAGGGGCACTATGCAAAGCTGTCCGGGCGTTGTGATCCTTATAGTTCACATCAGCCTTCTCTTCAAGAAGACTCTTGACGTTCACGGGATCACCCGCAGCGCTGGCGTAGAAGAGGCGCACCTTCTCAAAAGATTGCACTGTAGGTACGCTCCTAGTAGCTTCTTGCTCCTAGTGGCAACGCCCTTTGCTCCTAGTAGCTTCTTGCTCCTTCTTTCAGACATGTTCCTACAAAAAGGGTGCAAGAGGAAAGCCCTCCGTTGCCTGATTCAGGAAAGGCTCCTGTTGAATCTTTTCGGGCTCGGATTTCCCCAGGTGACCCAGCAGCATGGGCAAAGGACTCTCCTGGCCACCCCCGCTACAATGGACGTGCCAGTTGGAACCTATGGTGGTCTCTTACACAACTAACCGGTGGACGGACCAGTATAAACAGAATGCTCAACACCTCGACCAAGTTGTCTTGTAAGTGCCACGCTTTCTCTCGTGACTTCGTTCTCCGGTCTCCTCAAGCGAAGCCATGGCCGCCAACGGTCGTTGAGCCCTAAACTGCTGCGTCTGTAGCCAGAGCACCTCGCAGCCCGCCCTCAGGGCACCCCCGCAAGCCTCACATATTTCATGCCACTGCGGTCACTGCGTTAATGCCATGTCAGGGCATTTTGTCACCATTGTTGTCTGCCATCATTGGCTCACGCGCAGGCCTCTCTTACTCGCAAGTGATGTTCAGAACCTGGCTTATGCTTATCAGCCACCTGCTGTCGCTGTTCGGAAGCGTCAGACTTCTGTCTTTGGGAATTAATGGGTCGGCATGCTGTGTTTCAACAGCCACAGCCGATAGGCCAGGCATAAACACCAGATTTGACATCCATGCAAATAAAATGACCAATGTATCCACTGCAATTCCCCAAGATTTTAGGAGATTCAGCAGCAGCTCCAGCAAACAGTTGTGTTCCTGTTGCCACTCGGAAAAGGTCTGCTTTGCTGAAACGTCGGCAGCCTAAAAGGCCGCAAAAAGATTCCCCGGCCATGGCCATCCTCTCTAGATGTCCGTCTCCATTTGGACAGTGTCAAGATCTACTCCCACCCAGTGATTGACCATCCTTCCAACCGAGCAAAGCTGATGGACACAGTTGAGATGCACACTGGCAACGATTTGATTCACTCGTTACCTTCAAATCCACTGAACCATGTAGTTTCTAAAGCCAAATGAAAACGTAATCTCCAGAACCACGCGTCCAGCATCTTGCAACCAAAACATTGACCTTAAAACCTGTCAACTTGTGGTGCTTTCTCCCATCATGAAACCCAAGCCACCAGCACCAAATTTGCTTTACTCCAGTATCACCGTGCGCCAGTTTTGCCACTGGTTCAGCCGCCGCTGACCCTTCATGACAGCATTGTAGGGCTGCGTGAACCACACCTGGAAGAGAAGAGGGGCGAGAAACGGACATATGTTCCCTTTCATCACAAGCCAAAGTGGTGGCATCGACAATGCGGCAATGTTGATGATACGTACGCTGCGTCGATTTACTGGGCACACACTGAGAAATGCCGGTGCAATGCATATAACATAACTAATCAAGCAAAAACAATGACAGAGATAGCCCACAAATCATTCTGGAGCCCACACGCGTGCGCGTGCGGCGTGGGGGTGTGTGGTGCGCTCGCATTCGCATATCCTCATATACCTGTGTGGCGTGCAGCAGGCTGGCCCAAAAAAAGAAAACGTGGAAGCCGTGATGTAGCGACAGCAAATGATCAACCCTCGTTGCTGGCATGTTGCATGTTCCCAGGTCGGCGAGTGAACGTGGGCGTTTGCTTTGGGAGCATCATCTATGAGCACGTGGCCTTGGCAATGTTGGGCCGTAAATCCAACCATTCCACTAGCTCATTCCTGATTCTTTTCCGCCACAGACGGGCTTGTGGCAAGTTCGCAAGCCAACAAAGGCATTCCACACCATAGAAATCAAATGCATCCCAGTCTCCCATAACCAAGCCTCACGTGACTCACAAGTCACAAGTGTCCAGAAGACACAGTTGAGTTGGCATTGCTTGAATGTGCCACAACGGCATGCCACCAAGCTAGCAACTCTTGTCGCTGGTGATGATCAACCGCCGGACCCACGAGTCACCGTCCTCGCCAAAGGCCTTCCGAACCCACTCTGCCTTCTCCTGGACTTGCATGGACAAACATGTATTGAGCATGGTAAGAAAACTCTGGACTTCTTGGATAGAAAACTTGAAGTCCTGAGAGCAAAACTTGCTTTGTACCTGAGGCTTCCATTTGGGGCCGCACAGACTAATACATTCATACAGCCTTCACTGCTAAGATAGAATGATAGACAAGTTGCTATAGGAGAGGTGCACAGAAAGACCTCAGCTGCATGTCTACACAGTGCTGAGCTGCACAGTCGCCAGTCTCAGGCCCAACCTCCAGCTGTGGGTGTGCTTGCATTTCCTTGAGCGCTTCAATGGCACCCTCGATGGGCTTGAAGGAGTTGAAAAAGTTCTCCTGGCGAACTGCACCAAAACGCGACAGAAGAATCCAATTTTTGCGAACATGTTTAAGCCATGTTAAACATGTTGACTCCAAGCCTTCAGCACGTCTCCAGCAGCCCGGAGGTTATCGAACAGCAGCCAGTAAGCATGTCATGCGAGAATGATCAGCAACGTGTCACATGGCAAACAGAGAGCAGCCAGCAAGCTCCTCCACGTAGATGCTTTCAAGCGTTTCCTGCTTGGAAATCGCACATCACCAACACAGCCTCTATCAGCAATTCATCAGCCATTATGTGAGAACCATAGCAAAAATCTATACAAGGCCCCATATCACTCAGAATTATTCTGATGGGGATGTCTGACCCATTCTGACCCACTGCTTCTAAAAGTTCTGTTTGCTCGATCTGTCAATCTGTTGCCTGCCTTGTGCTCTTGAAATTGTTTGGTCAGTGGAAAGTGGCACAGCTCAGATGGCTCCTGGGCAAAAGGAGGAGTGTGTCTGAAAAGTGCCAAGACGAAGGCAAATGCTACACAAATCCCCCAATGATCGCTGTCGTCCACCGTCGAGGTGATGAGTATTGTCAGTCAGTCATTGGTTTACAGAGTGCATCGTCCACGGTGCCAAAGGTAGGACAAAGCAACAAAAAACCATCAGATCATCAAAGCATTCCAATGATTGATGTCACATAATGTTAAACCCTCTTCATGAGCATCTCAGCCAACATGCTGACAAATCCTTGTGGGCCCCATGTCTCCCCCAAAGCAGCAAGGAGAATGGAAGTATACGGGCGAATCAAACGGCAATTTGAGCAAAATGCACATGATGGGAAGCAAAGCATTTCAACATCCCAGCTTTTAACATTACAAAATGACCAGACTCTTGGGGAGAAGTCTTTGCAACAGGCAGCGCAGGCCGCAAGAGTCCCCGAGAGAATAAAATCTATAGAGCGCAGCCACCTAAACCTTGAGCGCCACACAACGAAAAGCTTTCTGGACACAAGTTTCCTCAGAGCTGCCTTCTGGAGACAAAAGACTTTCGGGAGACAAGTCGAACAAGACTTCGCCGTCAAGATTGGCAAACAAATCTTCGAAGCCACTACAAAAGGGTCTATATAGCCATATATAGCCAAGTTTGTTGGAGAAGAAGAAGCCCAAGAGTGCACGGTTCCTATCACGGTGGAAACATGTTTCCAGCGATGGTCAACATACTGTACCCTGCAAACCTGCATCCTTGCCAGATGGACCCATAAGAAAGCTGCACAACCTCTCAAGATACGTTAATGTACGTAAGTTGGAACCCTGCCTGCTTCAAAGATTGCTGGGTTCGTGCTTGCAAAAGCTCAAGTGCTCGCTGATCAAAGTCGGCAATGGTGCCATCCTGCTAGGGAATCGCTATATATATATATACGAGATTATATAGCGGAAATACAAGCGGATCGAATTTTAACTCAAGCAGCCATGAATTGTCCAAGGCTCCATGTCCACCAAAATGATGCGTTTGTCACACTGTGGAAGCCTGGCTTTGCAAGGCAGCACTGACCGTTGACAACAATTGCTGTCACAAACCAAATGCTTCATGAGGCATGATGCCCCTGCACGCCTTGGTGCAGCCGGGAATGTACAGCGCCGCCTTTACAAAACAGGTTCGGTGAGAATTCTGCAAAGCCTTTGAAGACGAAAGGACTTCGCAAGGAAGGCCATGATAGGCCACGCTATCAAGCGGCGCGGAATAGCCTGCTGCCAACAGAGCTGATGGCCAGGCCAGCGAGAACCACCGCAGCCATGAGAACCCCTTTGGTGCCCGTCTTTGACGGGCCATGCGCACTCCAAGGAGCCAGTGCTTCTTTCACGAATGCACACCATTGCAATTTTGAGGCCTTAAGTCTTGGTTTGACCCGTCTTGACCCGCCTACATAGCAAAGACATTGATCAAATATCAAGTTTAGATAAGTTTTAGGGCATAAAGGACCACACCTCAACGGTAATCTCCTACTAACAAACATGCATTGGCTTACCAAAGAGGTCTATAATATTTATATATATACATACGAATGACGCCTTGCTACTTATGTAGGATATGACCGACAACCCAGCAAACACCACGACATCTCTTGGTCCCGTGGGATCCTAACATCGTATCTTTTGTGCAGAGTTCCGCACAGCCTAGCAGCAAATGCATGTTTTTTTCTCGGCCCATGTCTGAAACAAGAAATAATGTAATTCTGCTCGAAGTCCGGTCATGAAGCCACAAAGCTGATGCCACGCAGCACTCATCCTGGGATTGAAAAGGGCATCCAATTTACGTGCTTGCCCAGGCCCCTGGCATATATACTCACCTCTATATATAATATATATATATATACAGTATATGCTTGAATCTTCCAATACACCACCGTCATTCACACCCCCTCGCATCCGAAAACGAAACAGAACGGGTGCTCCTGGGAGATGTTTTTCATGCAAAAAATGATACAAAAACACTGTGTTTTACAGTGATTTCTTGCAAAATCCTCTCCAAAATTGAGGTTTTGAGCTATTTTTTGATCAATTTTGTGAGATCCAAGCCTAT